GGGGGGGGAGATATTGAAAGAGAAAGAGAAATGAGAGGGAAGAGAGGAGAAAGAAGCTTATGGCTGTGATGAGCATTGGGTATTTGTGTGCATGTAACTGTCCAGCGTATGCCTGTGTGTTTTGGGGGCCAAGGGAATACAAGGAGAAGGGAAATCCTGGTACATCCTGGTTTTCTCACTTCTTCATGAATCTTCCTGAGAAAGCGGATCTCTTCCTGCAGAGACTCAACCTTCCGTTCCAGATCCAGGCGGGCCAGAGCAGCTTCATCTGCCTCCTGCAGCAGGGAGAGGAGAAGGACTGGCTCTGACCCCAAGACATCATCCCCTTCCCCACTGCCACCCTGACAGACACATACACATACATACATTCTCTTTATCCCTCAGCTCTTACTCAACTTCTGTTCTTCAGGAACAAGGCTTTTCAGTGGGACAAGGGAATAGGACAGAGAATGAGTAGAACAGGGACAAAAGAGAGGACCAGAGACAAGCCAGGCACAGGAAAAGAAGGCAGAGCTTAAGGATGATGGATTAGGGAGAGACAAAGGCAAAACAGGGGATGGGGCAGAGATGAGGGGCAGGGAGAGGCTGACCTTAGGGGATGCCACCACCTTTTACCCTGGTTCCCTCCAGTCCCTCCAAATCCCCTGACCTGTCTATAAGTTGTTAGGTTGTTCTCTGCCTCCAGCCGAAGGTTGGTTTCATCCTGGAGCCTGGAGGGAAGAGAATGAGCGTTTATACAGCACCTACTATGTGCCAGGTGCTTTTTACAAATACGATCTCATTTGATCCTCACAAAAAACCCTGTGAAATGGGTGCTATTATTATCATCCTTATTTTTACAGTAGAGGAAATTGAAGCAAATAGAGCTTAAGTGACTTGTCCAGGGTAACACAACCAGGAAGCGTCCAGTACGCTACCCACTGTGCTACATAGTGGCATCAAATTGCCCATTTGAAGGCTACAGAGAGAAGGGCCACAACATTCCTCTGGGATAAAGGGTAAGTTAAGGGGAGGACAAAACCTTTGGCCCCAACACTGTACACGTGCTCCCACAAACACACATTGGATAGAATCCTAGTTATAAGTTCTTGGGGCCAAAAGGGACCTCAGCCATCACCTGGTTCCCACTCCCTCATTTGACAGAGGAGAAAATGAAGGTCCAGAGTTGGGGGAGTGACCTGCCCAAAGCCATGCAGCTAGTTAGTGGATTATGTGCTCACATTATTTCACTAACCCTCTACATCTCTCTACATAATGATATGCACACATTTAAAGCACTCCATCCCCTCCTCTTTCCTTCCAGCCCCCTCCAATAACCCAGAAGTTTCTCTGTGGGGTTTCTTTCTATTGCCCATTCAACCCTGGGCACCACCGGCTCCCCGAGAACATGCCTATTTAGAGCGTGTGAGCAGATTGTCCACATGGCCCCAGAGTGAGGAATACATCTCTAAATCTGGATGTCAGCCTGGCCCTACCATACTGCTCAGACTCTCAAGGCCTCTTTAGACTGGCTCCTTATCTCTACTCATTCTCTGGACTTTCCAGCTTCTGTTTTCCAATCTATATCCAGGTAATCCCTGGTGATGCATGTATCTCCCCTCCACACTTAGAACAAGGCTCTGCCCACAGGGGCTAGTCAGTCTGTAGTATGGATAAATTGATGAGTTGAATAACTTGAGGGCCTCCAAATTCTTGGAGGTGACCATGAAGAATAATGTGAACAGTAGTCTCACACCCACCCTGGCAGCCCACTCTATCCTCACTCTTTAGCCCTCTCCCTTCCTTCCTCCCCAGCGCCCTCATCTCCAAGATGCCTTCCTTCATTCTTCCCACCCGACTTCTCGGCTTCCTTCCATTCCCCATGCGTTCCCCTAGCACTGATGCTCACAGCTCCACCCAAGAGTCCCTCCTTGTCTCTGCTTTGAATGTGTCTCTTTGAATGTCCTGGTCAGATTGGTGGCTCCCCCAGAGGGGTGTGTATATCTCCCCTGTGGGCTCGGCACAGGAGACCCTGCTTACAGGGGTGCGAGGCTCACAGTCTGTGGGATGAGCAGACTAATAAACTGAGTGACTGATAGGCCCCCGAAACCAGAGTCTAAAGAGTAAGAACTGCAGTTTCACGTACACCCAGAATCTAACTTTCTCGTCCCCTCTGACACTCACATCCCTTTCCCCCTCCTTGTTGTTTACACAGTCCTGAGTCCCAGAGAGGTCAAGCAACATGCCCAGAGTCACCCAGTCAGGCGAAAGTCTCCAGAGCTTGGTCACTCTGGCACTTGTCCCGTACTTCTCCTCCAGAAGGAGCTACTACTCCAAGAATCAGACACATTTTCTCAGGGGAAGAAAACAGAATGAGGAGCTTTGGCCCTGAGGTCTACTTCCCCTCCCTTTTCTAGCTTCATGTCTTCTCATTTTCCCCAGCCTTTTGGCAGACCCAGGAAGCAGGGACCACTCTTATTAAGCTGGGGAAAATAGACCACAACATCATAGATTCAGATTGAGAAGGGACCTCAGAAATCACCTAATCCAACCCCTTCATTTTGCTGATGAGGAAATTGAAGCCCAGAGAGGTTCTGACCTGACTCAGGATACCCAGCACCTTGCTCCAGAGAGGGCAACCAACCTACTCAAAGTCACACTGCACCCTGTCCTCTCCCTTTTTCCTTAGGACAACCACCTACTCACTTCTGTCTCAGGGTGGCCAGATCTTCAGACAGGTTATCCCTCTCAATCTCTAGCCGGGCACTGCTTGCAGTCAGCTGGTCCAGCTGAAACCGGAGCCGATGCAACTCAGCCTGGTAGACATCGGCAAGCTTGGTGGGCTCTTTGCCCCGAAGCTGGTTGAGCTCCCCTGCTAGAACCTTGTTCTGTTGCTCCAGAAAACGAACTTTCTCGATGTAGCTGGCAAAGCGGTCGTTGAGCTCCATCATCTCGGCCCGTTCACTGGACCGTGTTTCTTTGAAGCTGGCATTGAGTGCCTCAGCCACGGAGAAGTCAACCCGGGTGGGAACTGGAGGTGGCATTCTGCTCGGGGACAGCCGGACAACTGGAGCCAGGCGGCGGGCCGGGAAGCGTACCACAACCTCGGAGGCATAGGAGCGGCGGGTAGAGGAGGCCATGCGCCGTCTGTCCATCTTGGCCCTGGTTCTGGCTCGAGCAGGGGGCCCCAAGGGGGCTTTATAGAAAGGCACACCCAGCTTCACTACCCTAAGCTGTTGGTGTTTGGCACTGCCCATGTTTACTTTGGCACTGTCCCTTGGAAAAGGATGAGGCTCTGACCAAAGGCCCCCTGGGGGGGGAGCCCTCTTCTCCCACTCCCCCCTCTCCATCTCATTAGTCTGCTGAAGGGAAGACAGAGACAGAAAGAAGGTCTTTTTGCTGGCCTTTGTAGTCTCCAAGGAATTGGAATAAATTGTTCTACTGTGACACACCTCATAGTCCTTCCCACTGCAAACACAGGGCTTCTTGAGGGTATTCCCTTTTCCAAACAGAGGCCAGGATACTGCCATTCCCCAAGACTCTCCTTCTCTGTTTCCCTCCACACCAAGAGCTTTGGACCTGGAGCTTGGCCAGGACCTATCAGTCTAGAAACCTGGCTCCTAAAATCTCAAAACAGGAAGGGACCTTCAGGACCTTTTAATCCAATCCTCTTATTTTAGCGAAGAGGAAACTGAGGTCCAGAGAGGTCCTCAGTTATGTCCAAGTTCATTCAGGTAGCTAGTGACAAAAATAGGGCTAGAATTCAGACCCTCTTGACTTCTGTTCTGGCATTCTTTCCACTTTCTCATGATCTTGGGACCTGGTCTTCCTTCTTGATAGGAAGGGAAAGGAATGACTTTGGCAGGTGGTGGAGGTGGGGGAGGTTGTTTAAGGATGAGCCAGAGGAGGGCATAGGACTCCCCTGGCCTTCCCAACCATGCCACTCTGCATTGGTCCATAAGCCACCTCTGACTGAGCCCATCACCAGAGCCCAAGACTGGACAGCTCCACAAAGTCATTACAGATGGCCGTGGAGGCTGTGCTGTGCTGAGTTGTCTCCCAGGGAGAGTTCCCAGGGTCCCTTCCCCAACTCCAACCTCTCCCTTCCCCCACCAATATCTCACTGAAGATTTATAGCCCCTGAGTTCCCACACATCAGATCCTCCAGTTCCCAGGCAGAAGAGCTAGGGACTGGTACTCTGGGAAATAAGGGGATGGGGAGGAGGAGAACTTTGGGAACAAGTTACCCTTCCAGGTAAACTTTGAACTGGGAGTTCTGATGCCTGGGTCCTCTCCCCTGCCTTGGGACTCCTGGCTACTGTCCTGTCTCCAGACCTTAGTGTTCTTGCTTCGATAACATAGAGTTCAAGCTCCAGTCTGCCTGAGCTTCTGTGAGGTAGGCATCCCCTCCCACCCTGTCCCAATTATTCTCAGGCTGCTGATTTCTACTTGCCAGGGCACTTGCTGAAAGGATTCTTGTTCTGAGGGGTTTGGGAGGAGAAAAATGTCATTCCCCCCAGGAGGCAAAGCTGCTTTTATTCCAGGGATGCAAGACTGCCAAACCAGGGTGCTGCCCAAGCTCTCAGCTGAATGGGCTTCTCGGAAAGAAGTGGAGTCGGGCTGGTGAGCAGTAGGCAGTGGGCTTTGTGCCCACCCTGGAGCCATTATATCTGTGCCAAGGTGAGTCATGCAGCAGGCAGAAGAGGCCGGGTAAGGGGAGCAGAGGCGGGGGATGAGGGGAGGAGGGAGACCAAAAGCTAAAAGACAAATCATCTTCAGAGAGAGGCCCCAGCTCCAGCTTGTAGCGGCTGCCCCCTCCCCAACTTTTTTTCACAAAACCAACTTGACCCTCCCCACCACAGTTTCTCTGGGAAACTCAGAGGAACCTTGAGTCTGAATCACAAAACATTGTCTCCAGTTAGAGCTTGTTCTATAGTGGGCCAATCAGTGGCACCAGCCTGGGCTGGAGTCAGATCTGGGCATTCCCGGAGCCCCCATAGGGAGGAAGAGCAAGATGTTGTTCGTGTTTCCCAGAACTTACACTCCCCAAAGGCTTTAGGTCTGGAACACTTGAAGCAGGACTCAGGAAAGGCTTGGGCTCCCCCCAAGTAGGAAAAGGGCTGACTGGAAGGTATTAGGGAGTGGGCAAGACTGAGAGGTTAGAATTTTTCGTCTTCATTTTTTAGAGAGAAACTGAGGACATTTCCGATGGAATTCAACAGGTTTGTGTACTCCTCCCACCAACACCTGCCATTTATATCCTAGAGAAAGTAAAGCTCCAGTGAACTTTAAAGATGCTATCAAGTCCAGTCAAGAAGCATTTATTAAATGCCTACTACATACAATGCCAGGCACTGTGCTAAGCACTGGGATTTCAAAGAATGGCAAAAGACAATCTGTACCCTCAAGGAACTCACATTCTACTGGGGAAGACAACATACACACATGTACAAACTATATCTAGATAGATGGATAGACAGACAGAAAGACAGACAGACAGACAGACAGATAGATAGATTATAGATAGATAGGTAGGTATTTAGGTAGGTAGGTAGATGATAAATCAGAGGGAAGGCACTAGCATTAAGGAGGTCTGATAAAGGCTTCTTGTAGAAGTGGGATTCTAGCTGACTTTAAGGAATCCAGAGAAGTCAGGAGGTGGACATCAGGACACAGAAGACATCCAGTGAAAATTCACCAAGTTGGTTGATGGAGTGTCATGTTTGAGAAAGAGCAAGGAAGCCAGTGGAGGAGAATAAGAAATCACAAAAACAAGCTAGGTAACCCTTCTTTGCTTTTGTAATGATCATGATGGACTAGTGACAGATAAGAGCGTTGAGAAATTTCCTTCTCTGCTGCTTGCTGTCTTTCTGAATCACTGCCCATCTGCCAGTGACTGCCCCATCACCATACCCAGGGGACAGCTGTAAGAGCAGCCCCACTCCTGGTTCCCTGCCTCATCCTCCTCCCTAACCCTCCCTGAAGCCCTGCTCCTGTTCCTGCCTCCAACCTTATACCACATTACCACCCTCTACACAGACAGTCACAAAAACAGACAGATTTGATTCTGAGATACATCCAGCAGGACAGATGCACCCCAAACTACAGCCGGGAGCCCTCAGCTTCATCTGACCACTCTCCTTCTACCTAGGTCCCTTTCTGACTATCCCCTGTCTTCCAACTAGGGTCTTTTCCTGACAACATTCTCCCTTCACTTACGTCTCCCTCTATAGTCTAGAACCGCAGCCTCATGAACATCAGGCCAGCAGAGGGAAGGATCATGGAGGAAGGCAGAGGTTAGTTGAGGAGTCAGTCAACTAGCAAAGGTCTGGACCCTTGGTTACATTTTTAAATTAATTTATTTTTAGTTTTCAACATTCACTTCCATAAGATTTTGAGTTCTAAATTTTCTCCCCCTTCCTTCCCTCCCCCTCCCCAAGACAGTGCACAATCTGATATAGGCTCTACATCTGCATTCATATTAAACATATTTTCACATTAGTCATGAAGAATTAGAAACAATGGGAGGAACTACAAGAAAGAAGAAAAGAAAAACAGAGAGCAAACAGTATGCTTCGATCTGCGTTCAGACTTCACAGTTCTTTTTCTGGATGTGGATAGTGTTTTCCATTGTGAGTCTTGTGGAGTTGTCTCAGATCTTTGGTTATATTTTTTTTAAAGAATGTTAGAACTGGAAGGTGCCTTAGAGGTCATTTAGCTCAGGCATGCACTTAATAAATGCTTGTTGATTTACTGACTTATCTTGTTCAACCGTCTCATTTAAAAAATAAAAAACAACTCAGGTTTAGGGATATTGTCATAGCACATTGGAAAGACCCCTGACTCCGGAGTCAAGGGACCTAGTTTCAAATCCTGCCTATGAAACTTATTAGTTGTGTGACTGTGGGTGAGTCACAGTCTCTCTGGGTCAAAGTTTCCTCTTCTGTAAAATGAGGGGGTTGGACTAGATGGTCTCTGAGGGTCCTTCCATCTTTAGACCTACGGTCCAAGTGAGTTGTCCCCTTGGGGAGACAGAGCTTGACTGACTAGAACTACAAAGGGTCCAGAGGTCCTGGCTGGGAGGAGAATGAGTAGGGAAGCGCAGAAGCTGTCAGCCGGACCCCATTGGAGGCTGACCCCATGGCCAACTTCCTGTCCAGACACTGAGTGAGAGTGAAGCGTCTAGATGGCAGCTAGATGGCAGTACCCAGCTGCCTAGGCCACAGCTCCAGCTTAAACAAAACCCTTCTCATCCTTTATAGTAACCCCTCAGTTTTTGACTCCAAAGGGATGCCTTTGCTTCATCACCAAATGTAGCTCCACCTGATGTCTTCCTGTTTTAAAAAAAAAAATCCAGTCTACCCTTAGAGGAGGGAGATTTGCCACCAATGAACATATCAGAAAAAAATGTATTTGGAGTTAGGAAAACCCAGGTTCTAGTTCTTTCTCTGACACACGGCTGTATGACTCTTAGTAAGTTACTTAACTTCTCAGTGACCTGGGCAATGAAGACATGAGGTTGCAAATATTGATTGGTAGAAGAGGTTTTTCCAGGAATTCCCTATAGCTATGAAATTAGAGATCTGGATTTTATTTTATTTTGTTGTTTTAAATGATCAGTTATTTATTTTTAACATTTAAAAAAATTTTGAGCTCCAAATTCTCTCCCTCACTCCTACCCACTCTCCCACCCACTGAGAAGGCAAGCAATATGATGTCAGTTATACATGTGAAATCACAGAAAACATATTTCCATATTAGCAATATTGTAAAAAAAAAAGGTAAGAAAAAATTTAAAAGTGAGAAAATAATACTTCAGTTTACACTCAGAGTTCATCACTTCTCTCTCTAGAGGTGGATAGCATTTTTGCATCATGAGTCTCTTGGAACTGTCTTGGATCATTGTATTGATCAGAATAGTCAAATCTTTCACAGCTGATCATCATTACAATATTGCTGTTACTGTACACAATAATCTTCCAGTTTTTCTCATTTTATTTTGCATCAGTTCATCTAGTTCTTGCCATGTTTTTCTGAAACCATCCCCTCATCATTTCTTATATAACAATAGTAACAATACTATTACATTCATATACCACAACTTATTCAGTCCTTCCCCAATTGATGGGAATCCCTCAATTTCCAATTCTTTGCC